ATATAATTACAATTACTAAACTACTTTTGCTCTAACTTCTATCACCATGGTGATCCTTGTAAGGAGACCCTGTAACGTATGTCGTCCTTACACAGTGTTTCGAATTAAGCTTTAATATTTAGTACATATTTCCACAATTCTGTTGGCCAACAGCTCTTAGTCGAATATTTGTTCGTGTTCGTATATGAAGCGTTTGATGTTGCCTGTACTTTAGTCAGTTAGGATGGAACGAAAATAATTTGTTTTCGACGAACCATTCGCCCATTATCGCGAAATTTAGGAACTCCACGAAAGAAACCGTCTTTATACAATTCCGTTTTGTAAAAAGGCGAAACAACGCAAAGAAAGCAGAGAGATTAACTATCTGCGACAGCGGAAAAACGTCCAAGAAGACGACGAGATCGATAACTTGGATATCTGAGTCAAGCCGTTTATTTTCCTCTTTATATAAACAACTCTTATTTAAAATACTTATTATTCACGCAATTAAATTCTATGTACATGTACTACTAATTATTTAAGTCGCTAATTTTAGTTTATCTGCCTTTAAAATGGTGGATGGTATTGAGAAATTCTTTAGCTAGGAAAGGGGTGGGGGATATACAATAAAAAATAAACGGAAGTGCCTACATAATCAAGATTGGTCAATGTGGGGGCTGTAGTGGGCCGCTTTTCGTTTGAACGATTTTTTTTTATTTTTTTTTTATACTCTGTACATGAAATGTACAAGAGTATATTAGGTTTGCGGGAGCTGAAAAATGTAACAGGCAGAAGGAGGCGTGGCAGACCCCACAAAGTATATATATTCTTGATCAGCATGACGAGACGAGTCGATCTAGCCCTGTCTGTCTGTCTGTCCGTCTGTCCGTCTGTCCGTCCGTATGAACACCTGGATCTCAGAGACTATAAGAGATAGAGACACCAAATTTTGCACAAAGATGCGTTATGTGTGTATTCTATACGAGTTTGTTTTATTTTTTTGATTTTCCCCTCCACTTCCCCCCTATGGGGGTTTTCCCGATTTTCCATTCGTATAATCGCCTATATCTCGGAGACTATAAGACCTAGGAACACAAAATTTTAGTCCCAGATGCCTTATGTGAATACGCAGAAAATGTATATTTTGGAATTCCCCTCCCTCCCCCCTCTACCCCGCAAATCGTAACTCCCGTAATTCTTGGAATTCCGAACTAAAATTTTGGAAATACCCCCAGTTGGTTATTATGTGTCCGTATGCCAAATTTCATTATGATAGACCGATTTAACAAGAAGTTATAGCCATAAATATATTTGCTGATGCAGCGCTGCTGCAGCGCTGCTCAAGCGCTGCCCGCGGCTGTTGTTGATGTTGCTGTTTGGTTGACTGCGAAAATGCTTACACAGACACGAATAGATGCGCATAGGCATACATACACTCACACAGACGCAATTGCTATGTAAATGTGGAATTATAAACCCTTTACGTGAGTTCGAATACCGAGAGAGGTAAAATCGATCAATTTTTTTTTTTTATTTTCTTAATTTTTTATACCCTGTACCCAAAGGGTACAGGGTACCCAAAGGGTACAAGGGTATATTAGTTTTGTGCGAGTGCACATGGAACACACAGAAGGAGGCTTGGTAGACCCCACAAAGTATATATATTCTTGATCAGCATGACAAGCCGAGTCGATATAGCCATGTCCGTCTGACCGTCTGTCTGTCCGTCTGTCTGTCTGTATGAACGCAAGGATCTCCGAAAGTATAAGAGCTAGAATAACCAAACTTGGTAAACAGATTCTCCTAAGACCGAGAAAGGACGAGTTTGTTCATTTTTTCTGATCCACCCCCCCACTCCCCCCCTATTACTGATTTTTTATAACTCCCGTAATTCTTAGAATTTTAAACTAAAATTTGGTAGTCACATTAGGTTAGTAATTATTTATCCATATACCAAGTTTCATTATGATAGAATGATCGGAAAGAAAGTTATAGCCATATAACCAGGCCCAATGCACACATACATACATATGTACAAGTACACAAACACGCATAAGGCACGATTCTGATGTAAATGTATGTATGCATGCATGGAATATTTTATATTTAATTAGTTAATATTTAGTTAATTAATTAAATTAATTTAGTTAATTAATTTAATTAAATTAATTAATTAATTTAATTACTTTTTGTGGGGTGGTACAGGGTATTTAAGAGTTGAGCCTGCTCGACTTTAGCATTCCTTTCTTGTTTTATTTTCTATAATTATTGTAAACATATGTACAGAGTATTTCAAAGTCGGGACACCCGACTTTAGCTTTTTTACTTGTTTCTTCTTAAATTTATCAGCGTAGAAGTATGAAACGCCAACTATTAATTGTGTGGCGAAAATAGGTATAAATTTACGTTGGTTTATTTTTGGCTAAGCAAGCTTTAAGATAGGAAAAAAAATAAATTTGAGACATAATTATTTATTTAAACTCCCCCAAGTTAGGCATCGGAGTAAATATATATCTGTCGAAACTGTCACTTGCTGCAGGAATGATAGTTGGCAACAGTGGGAGCTCGGCTCGGCTGATTGTTAGAAAGAAACCGCGCCAAGTTTTATTTCTGATAAAGTCAGTACTAGAAAATTAAATACACATAAAGTAAAATAAAATTAACTAAGGTGTTAATTGTTGGCATTTATTAGTTTGAATAAAAGGAACGTAGGTGTTTATTGGTTGAATTCATAAGGCGAACTGCGCGCGATTTTCACATACAATCGACGCGCATCTTATCGATAGATTACAATATATATCAAACTTAGTATGACAGGGCTGCTTAGTGCAAATTCAAATTAACTGACATTTATGTTGCTTATAATTCCAAATATTTCAACATTAATTACGTTACATTAAATACCTGCAAAAATATTCATTTGTGCCTTATTTAACCCAAATTTGAGTGGCTTAAATTGGATTGGCAGAAGTCGCGCATTTAAATCGACTTTTAATTGCCATCGGACGTTTTTCTAGCCGCAATAGCTCGGGACATTATTGTTCAAGTCTCGGCGAAGTGGTCTGTCATCGAGGTGCTTTTCCCCTCTGGGTGACTATTGTCTTTTGGTTCCGTCCCATGAAATTGCAGATTGCAAGCGGATTTAGCATTTAGCATTTAGCGGATTGCTATTAGGATTTAGCACCTTTGCTTAAGCTTAATACAAATAACAAGTCCATAGCTTAAGTTTAGCAGAGGAGCAAACAAGAGAAGAGGGAGAGAAAAAGAAACCAGACATACTATGAAAGCTTTTAGTTAGCTTTAGTTAGTTGCGGAAAAGATTACATAATCTTTCAATGGTCTAAGTGATGCACTTCAATCATGTTCAAATAATGCTTTAATTTGTGAATTTACATATCGATGTGCAAGCTGGCAAAAACATAATTTTAACAAGAGAGAACGCTACAGTCGAGCAAGCCCGACAGTGTAATACCCTGTACCCAGGTAAACTTCCGTCACTGAGTTATATGCGCCCATAGCAGCAGCAAAAAGAGGAAGAAGAAGAGCGAACTTGTTGCTGCAGTTTGGATGGGTTGTACTGGCGAGAATTTGTTTCGCTAATAACTTATCTTAGAATTGACCGAATTGAATAAAATTTTGAACAACAGTAGACAATTATATATAAATTATGTGTGCAAAGTTTGGAATGTTTGAAATGTGGACGCTATTGACGAAATTCTGTAGCGGGGGAAGGGGGGGAAAATTAAAAAAAAAAAAATAAACTCGTCCTTACTCGGACCTAGGAGAATCTGGATGCCAACTTTGGTTATTCTAGCTTTTATAGTTTCTGAGATCCTCGCGTTCATCCAGACGGACAGACGGACGGACAGACGGACGGACAGACGGACATGTCTAGATCGATTTCTCTCGTCATGCTGATCAAGAATATATATACTTTATGGGGTCGGAGATGCTTCCTTCTGTATGTTACATACTTTGCACAAACCTAATATACCCTGTTTACCCTACGGGTACAGGGTATAAAAATTATGAATTTTTTTTGTTACCCATTTTATTTGAACATGAAGTGAAGGCAAATCAAATCATATAGCCTATACTCCCCGTTTGAATTAGTACTTATAAGTTTGTACAACATTATTTAGCTTATCGTGCGAGAGCAGAGCAAACACCTGTTTACGACACCAGAACAACAACATTGCAAATTACTCCTCTACAGCTTACCCCCGTCTCGTCTACACCCGAAAGATCTTTCGCCGTGGGATGCAGCAAACTGTAAGTGTTTTATTATTATTTTTTCCCCTTTCTATAAAGTTTAACATGTGTTAGTTTACGCCAACTGGGGAACCCATGCATACCCTTAGGTGCGTCAAAAAGCGAGGAAGCCCGTCTGCCTGTCTGTATACACTATCTTTTCTTCAGTCTGTCGTCTGCTGTCCACTTTCCATAGAATCATACCTCACTATCCCCAAATCCCCATAAATCCTTTCTATAAGTACGCGAATTCTTTTTAAAAATACGATTATTATAGCACGGAGAAGTAATTGTCTTGCCGGCGAGCATGCAGCCGAGGAGCAAGCCCGTACTCCGTCTAATGACATACGTCCATCCGCTTCCATACCTGAGAAGGTATGCCCAACCGTTGCACGTTACAGGGCAGCCGTTTCTAAAATCCAGGTGGACGTACAGATAAACAGACAGTCGGATGGACGTTTGGACATGTCTATATCGATTTTTGTCAAACTGATGACGAATATTTATACCATATGCGGTCAACGATGTTTTCGTCTGCCTCTTACAAAGTTTTCACAAACTTATACCAGTCTTCCCCCTTTGGGTGTAGGGAATAAAGAGGGAGACTTTGATAAATGATTGCATCTGCTGCAACAAAATCGTATTAGATAGTACAGGTTTCTTAATTAAAATGTATCCGATTTAATCTGGTTTACATATTTGAAGCTGACACAAGGAAAAATGTATTTATTTTAACGAGTAATTAAGAATACCATTTTGAAGCAAATTAATTACATGGTAGGCTTTCGAATTTATTCAGAATTTTATTCTTAATGTTATAAATATTATTATTAATACGAAGTTGCTTGCATTATTCATGTAATTAGTACATTTCGTTGTGTAGTACATAAAATTTGTATGAAAGCTAATTAGCTGACTAAGTATATGAGCATGATAACGTGGTAGATAGATTGTAGACAACTCAATGTTTTAAAATAACACAATATTTTTAGCTTAAGTATAAGGCACAACAATTCGTTGAATATGTGACATCCGGAACCTTAGTCTAATATATTGTACACTCAATACTACGACTACAAGGACTACCCTTAGAACCTAATAAAATCATAAGCGATATTTATGACCACGGTGACAAGTTGGCGCTCAGCCCTTCTTGAACTTGATCAGCAAAATGGTGAGTACGAGGAAGACAACAACCCACGCTGAAATGGAAATGAAACCATAATAGACCGTAGGATAACTCATGTCCCAGCCGCGTTGCAGAATAGAGCGCAATGATTCCGTTGGCTTGGTCAGCGGCAAGAACAATGTGATAGACTGCAACAATGGATACATGCCCTCAATGGGCCAGATAATGCCACAAAGCATGACAATTGGCAGAAATGAGCCCATGGCCACATAAGTGGCTGTGCGCTCCGTATCCACAGCGCACGAGATCACGAAACCAAAACACATGCCGCACAACCCATTGAGTATGCAGAGTGCGACCACAAGCCACACGTTGCCCACGAGTGTCAGCTCAAAGAAGTAGAAGCTCACAATGAGGACAAAGGACGTTTGGCTGAACATCACGGTGAACTGTGTAACAACTTGGGAAAGCAGGATCTCGGTACCCGTAATGCCAGCGACCAGACAACGCTCCAACATGCCCTCATTTCTCTCAATCAACATGGCGCCAGATGTAATGGCCACCGACAAGAAGAATATGATGGTCAAGATAACGCCCGGTGCCGCAAAGTCTGTGAAATTGGGATTGCGATAACCATAGATGGGCTCTTTAAAGTCGGTGGGCACTGTTCCTATTTTCGGATTCACATCGCACTCCGCCAGAATAACCTGCACGAAGTCCAGGAATGTGTATTGTAAGTCGCGGTACATAAGAGTGGAAATTTGTTGATCTGTAATGCAGAAAAGAAAAATTAATTCAGAGAACGAATGAGCGAACTGAGTTCATAAAAGAGGTAGATCTATAAAAGATTCATCTATGGAAACGTTGATTTCTATATTGCACTAAACTAATATATACTAGTATGTATGTTCATATTGTAGGGATTGGGATTTTTGTAAAGGCGAGAGTATTTGCTTAGTCGAAAAATGTAATTGAAATATGACTTATTGCTTATTAATTAATAAACCATTTAATAAATAATTGACAGGCCTTTAATAAAAACAAGAGTGCATCCACTAAGCAACGTCTATTCCAGTTTTGGTGGAGTCACTAACTTGTTTACTTTTTCATGTCCAAAAATAAGTACATATAAGCATGTGTGTGTTAAGCTCCACGTGTTCTCTTTTATTTATAGGCCTTTGAATTAATGGTATATTGTTTATTTTTATTATGAAGATGACTTCTGCCGAGGAGTTTTTAAGTTAGTTTACAACAGTTGTCCCTGCTTGTATATTTTATTCTCATTTAGTTAATAAGCAAATTACTTCAACTTCCAACAGAATGGAGAATTGAGAAATTGAACTAAATTACTTCCAAGCAAGTTAAAAATGTTTTAAAATCACTTGAAGCCATTGAAGAGATTTCACTCAGAAATGATTTTTGCATTAAATGCCTAGTTATACTCTGTATTTTAATTTAAGTTTTTATGAATGATGCTACTTACTTGTCCAGTCCATTCTGATGCCCAAATCGGACTCTTCGATAGTGTCGTTTTCTGCATATCGACCCATTTCAGTGCGCTCTACCAGAGCTGAGGTGTAGTTGGGTTGGAAGACCAGAGCAGCCCAAGCGCGGCCACGTCGCACTTCGTCATAGGCCGCCTCATCATCCGCCATATAGTTCTGTGTACATAAACGAAAGAAAATGAATGTTAAAACATTTTCGTGTGAGCTTGAATGATGATACATAACAATGACTTTAGCAGGCTGCAAATGCCAACAGTCAATCAAATGCCCATTCAATTAGCTTAAAAAGTCATTGCACCTGCCTTGAATGAATTCTCTCTGTCGTTATCTGGGCTATACAAGTACAATGTGCCTGATTTGTTTGTTTGCTTGCGTTGCTGTTGTTTCTGTTGTTATTGTTGCTATTGTTGTTGTTGTTGTTGTTGTTGTTGCGCAATTAAAAGCGCTGCTGAATTATTGAGAAACGCATGTCAATGTAATGCCGCCTACCCCCGCAGACACAAACTGTGAATTGTATCTTGTAACTTATAGATATATACGCATTTACAGAGCTCTCTCTTCGCCTATTGTTGCTGTCGCTCATTGTCTGTCTCGCTTCATTTCCTGTCGCATTGTTTGTTGGTTTGGCTGTCTGTGTTCGTGTGTTTGTAGTAAATGTTGGCGTTGTTACAACAATAAAAGTAACTCCATGTAATTAATGTGCGTACTTTGCGCAAAACGATAAATTCAACGCCAAACAACAAAAGCTCAAGCAACAACAACAACATCATCATCAGCAGCAGCACCAACAGCGACAGCGACAACAACGTCAGCAGACAAGAGACAACAAAATATGCATTGCCTACTTTTGTGCGCCACAACTGCGACAGAGGCTGCCTGCTTTTGTCAACAATATGTTTATTTTATCTTTTACAATTTCATTGCGTGCATTTTTTGCCTCGCCCTGTCTTGTCCGTTAATGTTTTTGCTGCTTTCTTCATTTTTGTTTATGTTTTTTTCTTTGTGCGTATTTCGCAAACATAAATAATGAAGTACAAGCCGCATGTAAGCTTTGCAACTACCCTAGTAAGTAAGTGGCGAAGTAGTGTTGCGCGGTCCATGTCATAAGACTGTTATGAACTAGTTCCCTTTTTTTGAACTGATATGAATATATTTTAAAATTATAATCAACAATAAAGATACTTGCTTTGTGTTTCGATTATCATTGAGGGATGGGAAGTTTATAAATAGTTGCTATGATTTTTCCGTTAAATGATGCATATCCATGTATCGATATACCGCTTTAAAGACTGACTTATTTCAGAGAGTTAACAATTTGAATAGAGTTTCATTTCGATGTTTGTGAGCTTTAATTCATATCTATTAACTCAGTGTATTTACACAAATTTTGTTTAAAGAATATGTGGACCTGTAATTTTCCATTCGCTGGAGGCACAAAGCTGCTGTAAAATATTTCAAATATTCAATTCAAATGGTATCGCTCTAACTGTCCGTTGTACAATGGCTGGAATAAACATGGCCCAACTAATTTTCCAGCATTTGCGCATACACTTGTGCATGCGTGCGTGCGTGTACAACAGAAAGTGCCCATACATTGATTAAGTTTGTTTTTGGCAACAACAAACCGAACAACTAAAACTACATACTACTTGTATACTATAGTATATAGAATAACAACTTTGCTAAAGTTTCTCTGGCACAACTTACATACTTCATAGACTTTGGGGGGCAGAATCAGGCGAGCAAGCGGTGTAGGATGTTTCAACTAATGCCATTGCCAGAGCCACACGAACAGCAACAGCAACAACAAACGCCGAATGATTGCCTACAGTGTAAATGGTAATGGCTCTGCTGCTGCGTGTATTGGCATTTGTATTTCGGCTCAACTTCAAGCCATTTTGTGGCTTCGAACAAGGCGCATTTAAAGCCCCGAGGCTCATGGGTAGATGGCGGAGAAAAAAGGATACAGGCGTGAATTTACGCAATTGCCCCATTAATGTTGAGACAAATGAAGTCATTCACGACCACACGCGTGTGTGTGTGTGTATAAGTGTGTACGAGTGGGTTTGTTGCCGTGTGGTTATACGCCCGGCATTAAATGGTTTGACAGGCTTCATTAGCTTCATTGCTGCCGAGTTTATAAATATCAATTAGAGTTGAATGCGAGAGCATGGCGCACAAATGTCTGCCACAAATCACAACCAAATAACTCAAGGCACAAGCAATCAAATCAAAGTATAGAAAAGTTGCCCACTCACATTACATGTTGAAACATTCATTGATGTTTCAGATAAAGTTTTCTACGGCCACAATAAGTGCACAAATAAACTCAAGTTGAAAGATAGAATGCGGCCCATTTCTGTTACCTCAATAGTTTAGCTTTCCTTAATTTTTTATTGTTTTACTTTTGTTCCATATGTGGGTCGATTGAAGGTAGTCATTATTGACGACAAAACTAGAGCTCTAGGTCTCTGCAAAATAAATGCATATATACGTATGAATAAGTTCGTAATCATATGTTTGGCTTTATATAAATATATTTTTTAATTATAATAAATATACTAAGTGTATACTAGTATATAAAGAATAGATTCAATATAGCTATATAAAATTCAATTCTATACATCAATATTTAAAAGGCAATCTTCAAAAGAAACAGAACGTAAGACAGTTTATTATTAGAAAAGAGAAATATTCGCTACAAATATATGGAATTAAGATTAAGCAGATTAAGTGTTGCTCAATTGAAAATTCTCAGGAAAATATGCGATGCCCCCTGGTACATGCGCTCCAGAGATATCGAAAGGGACTTATGTGTTGCCAAGGAGAAGCACCTCGGCAGTCACCCTAACGCACTAACCAGGCGGTAGCTGTACAGATCCAGGAAGAGAAGACTAAAGAAGTATCATCCGAAGGACCTCTATTTAATCTATTTCATTTAAAAATATTGCAAGCATTGCATTGTATATTTATATTGATTTAAGTTTGTTTTTTAGATGTTAGCTTGCAAAAATTGGCCAACGATTTGCTAGTGTGGCAATGAATCGATCGAAAAGCTTTCACTATAAGTTGATTGGTATTTACGTGCAGTTCGTGAGTTTTGTATTAATTGAATTTTACTTTCTACAAAACAGTGCTTTCAATGCTGATATGATTTGATTCTTCTATATTTTACTCATATATGTACGTATATTTATTCTTGAATAGGCGCTGGAATGAATGCAAGTATTTTTCTTAATTAAAATGATAAACCTTAAATCCTTTAAATAATGAATGAATCAAGTCTGGCGCTTATGTAACGTCGCAGCTTGTAAAGTGCAGGCAACTGCCGAACAATGTAGTCACTCTATTCAACTGCAACAATTTTGCTGCACTGTGGTTAACCAACCATAGAAGCTCAAAAGTTGCTCAGTTGCCTATAAAATTGTCGCTCGGCCATGCCCAACCACTTCGAGCAGCAGCAGCAGCATAAAAGCTCTGGGTTATGCCTAATGAGCGCGTGCCACGCCACAACAACGGCGATGGCCGTAAGAACGGTAAACGCGCGAGCGTTGTCACGCCTAATGAACTTTTAATTAAAAGTAAGCCACCACAACCAGTAGAATAACAACAACAACAACAACAAAAAACAGCGCTGCTAACAGCTACAATAAAGGCAAAAACAACGCCCAAAGCTGACCACAATACGTTTTCAATTTGCACATAAATTAAAAAGCGAACCCTTTTTCGACTTGCCCCAAAAATTATTATAGCAGCCTTTTAGGCAGCGCCAACAAATTCGCTTTGGGGTAAGCAACATAGGCTGGGTTTTGCACCCTGCAAACGTTTCCAGCGAATGTATGTAGCTAACAGTAGAAAGTATTAAATATAAAGCAACTGAGGCAGAAAGCGCAAAGATCTGAACTATAACTGAGGATGAATAAATCAAATTTAATGAAATAATTTCTGTTACTTACTTTGTTGTACAAAAAACATTTTCTTAGTAAGGGTAAACAATATTCGTCTTTAAAAATACCAAGCACCGTTTGTCTGGTTTATATAGATTGAGATGAAAGTTTTTAGGAAACAATTCTTTGCAGTTGAGTTATGGGCTTTATAGGAATGTTTAATGTATTCTAGAATATCAATTATAGAAACCGATTCTGACTTTTGGTTAGATAATTTTAGTGAAATAATGTCTGTAACGTATTTTGTCGTAACAGAAAATATTCAGAGAATGAAAAATTATATGTATGTTTAGATAAAAGTCTTTAGGAAACAATTCCTTCAGTTGGGTTATGGGCTTTTTATGAATATTTTATATAGTATTTTAGAATATTATTTATAAAAATTTGCTGTTTGCTTGGGACATATTTTCTTCTTTCAGCAATAGCCGTTATAACACTATATAATAATATAATATTGAAATGAAGATTTCTTATGTTTCTCTGTTTTTAAATCGAGCTTGTTTGAAAGTTTTTGAGTTAAATGCTATCAAAAATTGCGTGAAGGGTATACTTTAGTCGACCATGTGTTGTATAAACACATTCTTTACTATTGCTTAAGTTGCCGTCGCCGGCGAGGCTTTGAAACTTTGAGCAAAGACGGCCGCAAGCCTTTTTAGGCAAAATAAAAAACCAAAGGGAAACGGTAGCGTCGAGGCCAAAAACAAAAGCCAATTTTTATATCATTAAGATGACGTTACAATATGCGTTTGATCTAGGCAAAGACAAAACGCTCGCTCGGAGTATAGGAAAAGGAAGCTGCCGTAGTGGCTTTTGTATTTTTACGGCTGTCATCAAAGCTGCCACAAAAGGCCAAAAGCTGATGCGCTTTTCACTTGTTCGCTCTTTCAATTTTCGTTTTTGTGGCCTGCGGTGTAAATATACATACATAACTGTTGTTGCTGCTGTCAGTGGAAAAAAGCAGTACTGAGAAAATGAAAGGCTGCTATTGAGAAAAACCCAAAGCGCCAAAACGCCAAGCGTCAATAACGACAACCAACAACAAACAACAACGAAAAGCTGACCAGAAAAGACGAAGAAACGGAAAGCGGCAACAAAATTCAAATTTCAAAGTCCGTCGCCCTCAGCGCTTCATTTGAGTAAGTAAAGTGGAAGTGGAGGTTTCCAGGATTTCGCAGTTGGCAGCGTGCTGATGCCACGTTGATATGCTGTTCATTGACCAAAATTAACTTTACCAAGTAGCCAAGGTAAGATACAATAAAACTCAGTAAGCAAAAAAGAGATGAAGGCAGATGAAGCTCAGAGGAGATAAGCAAGTGGGTGCGTGCCACAGTACTTTTTGCTCTTTTTTCTTTTTTTTTGTATCTTATTTTACATTTACACAAATTAAGGACAATGGAGCAACGGTGGTGGCCTCGTATTTGGTTGGGAAAGTTCAGCTGTTTTTCTACCATTATTGAAAATACAAGTTTCACCTTCTTGTTGTTACTCATTTGACTGTTGAGATATGCCTCGTGTTATTCAATATTTAATTGTTATTGTATTCGTTGCACAAAGTTCAAATGAAACAATGTAAACAATTTTAATAATACAACAAGGCTGCTGGTTAAGGCCTGGCATGATTTCCACTAGCAAATAATAAACTCAATTTACAGATTATCACAAAAAGTTGTCTTTAATTAATATGGTTTAAAAGATAATTCAAAAGCTGTCATTGAAATTTTCATCTGTCATAATGCCAATTTATATTAAATGAACATTTAAACTATCAATAATTAAGGCAAAAGAAAATATGAAAAAAAACTAATGTTCATTTCAGGTGGAGTCTATTTTGTGGAATAGACGTACCTATATTTGTATAGTTATATATAGTATATTGTCGATTTTATACAGCCATTTGACAAATATTCTGCTCAAATTGACAAGCAAAGAGAAAGAATGAGTTCCTTTCTATTCAAATTTATTCTAGTAGCTTTCATAAAATGAACTTTATTTTAGGAAAAGTGGCCACTTTTAAAATGTAATACAAGGACTTTCATGCTCTTATTTTGATCTACTTTTTTACAGTCGTTAGAAGAGCTAATAGAAAATTTATGAAAATTTAACATCGGCACAGCAGCACGAAGAGCTTTAGTCTCAACTCGTAGTCTCAACCTCATTGCTCAAACTGCTGACCAAATTAGCCAACACAAGAGGCTTTTGTTTTTGAAGCGTAATTTGCAATAAATTGCCACGAGGGTCCACTGGCAACAACATCCGGCAAACTGTGCATCTTTCAACTATTTTTAGTCCGAAAGCAAGTAAATTTATTGATGATCTCGACCGTAGCTCCTGCTCGGCCCTGCTCGGTTAACCCCCGCCCACCCATCACCATGTTCCATGATGCGTTTCTGGTATTTTGGACGATAGATAAGCAGCTGTAATTTGTGTTCGCCAACAGCCAAAGACAAAGCCAAGTCGATAAAGAGAAGGGTGTGTGTGTGTGTGTGTGTGTATGTATCTATATGTGTGTGTGCATGTGTGATTTAGATTTGTGGAGCAGGAGCATGAGCAAGCAATGCCTTCACGCGTGTGTGTGCGAGCAGTAGATTGAAGAGAAGGCACAACTATGTAGCTGGCACACATCCCTCCCCTTTTCCGACTGCTGTCCACACAAATTGAAATAAATTACACGAATGCCTTGCAGGGTCAAAACTGACAGACTAGGTGCCCAGTTGGCCAGTCGGCCAGCTGGCCAGCTGGGCGTACGGCCTTGAATAGACAGCATCAATGGGCGTTGTAAGCTCACACCATGCCCCACAATTTAGAACGGCATCCCGTTTGGCAGGCCTGAACAGCCAATGACGGTGTAAGTAATTTACATTATGCAACTATGGCCAATACTGCACTTACCACAACCATACTCTTGTTCCTGACCAGCATATCGATATAACGACAGCTCAGCATGCTCTGATGACATCCTCTGGCCACTGGACAGAACTGTTCCTCGACCATTTCCTTGGACATCTCGTGATTGGACACGGCAATTTTTAGGCCGGTTGGGTCATGACCGATTGCATAGCAGAAAAGCAATATTTGTACCACAGGCAGACCAACTATGAACAACATGATGCTAAAATGGAAAAGAATCAAGTAACAAGTACATATTAGTGAATTGTTGTAAGTTGTTCTTGTTTTTACAAAGACTTGTCTTACAACGAAATACAAATCAATTAATTGGCTTTTGTTGGCTACTACAAACACCAACTGCATTTTTACTTTCGAATTAAATAAAACATTATTTGCATTAATTTCTTGTCTTTATGCAAGTGTATTTGAAGTCAATCAATTTGGGATGACACCTGTTTTTGGCAACATCAGTTAATAATAGTAAGCAACAATAGATTTATTAAAATTTCTTTTTTCATATTAGATGCCAAATGTAAAGTAAATATTGTTTTAAAAATATATACAAGTATCTCCCATACATTTACGCATTTACACGATGTACGAGCCAAATCTCCCAAAATCACTTTCTAATTGCGTCTTGCACACACAATCGGTATTCATTAAGGAAAAAGATAGGTTCGCAACTTTTTTTCAATATCTTCGAAAAAAAACTTACCCCACATTTCGCATCATCCATAGAAAGTTTTTCCAGATGAGCGCGTGCAAATGATGCTTCTGCATGACTTGCAAGTTATACCAGAACGATGTGGGTGTTTCGTCTGCTGGTGGCAACGGTGGTGCTGCGGGTGCGGTGGTGGTTATCGGATCACGGGCAGCCGAAGACATAGAGATGTTATCACCAAATTCACCTGAGATCTCGGCAGCGTGCTGTTCGTCGGAGATGTCCAGAGCAGGGTTTGAAATGGCCGGCACAGTGACTTGCTCAACAATCTCTTGGGCAATCGAACTGCGACGCCTTTTGCCCATATTTTGCATAACGGAAAGTTTCAGGAATACATCCTCGAGGGAGTCTGCATTGTATTGCTGACGCAAAAAGTGCGGAGATTCCTCGGCAAGCATTTTGCCGCCACGCAGCAAACCAATCTGAAAGGTACAGAGTGGAAAGGATTAGATTGCATGTAACTCGTATTTATTATGTTGTTGAAATTGATTTGAAGTGCGTGCGTGCGTGCGCGAAGAAAGTGTCAGCAAGTCAATTAAACTTTTGACTTTGATGATGGGTACATACAATACACTTTCTATTAGATAGCTGCTGAAAGTTTCGTTAGACTTCAACTTCCACTTCGCCTTCGACTTGTGCTTACACAAACATTGTGCAAAAGTTTGCGCTTTTTGGTCAACGGACAAAATTATGCACATCCGGTTTTGTCGGCCATGTCGCAAGCGCCATCGATGTCGTCGCAAAGTTTTATTGACTGTTCTTGCCGTCATTGCCCCCCAAAAGCTAAACTTCTCTCTGACTTCATTGTTTTGTCTATCAGTTTAGCCCAACATTGTCTAATCCCTTGTCGCTGCCTTCGACTCCGGCTTTGCTGCAGAAACGTGCGGAAATTAACTTAATTGATTTCTGTGCCAAAGCACATGACCAGGCATGCCGAACAACATATTAAGCGTCTATGCCAAAAACTTTTTGCTTTCACAAAACTTGTTCAACGATGTCTTCATCGTCGTCGTCATCGCTATCACCGTCGTTGCTCTTTAGGCTTTGCTTGTTCATCAATTCTACGCCATTTACAAGTACGCCTTCATTTGGGCGACTAGCGTTGACGGCTTCATTAGACATGCACATAAGTGACTGGCCGACCGACTAAAGAATGTACTCTACTCGTACCAAATAGGCCAAAAAGTTTTCGCGCTTCATTTTGCTGCGGCTCGATTTTTGTCTATATTCTCGGAAATCGGTCATTTCCTACAGTTTGGCTCTGCCGGCGGCTCATCTTGATTAATTTGGCTTCGAATGGTTCTTGTTGCTGCTGCTGCTCAAGTTTTGTCTGTGTGCAAAGCCAATTAAGCTCTAAATTGAATATCAATACGAAAATAAATTAAAAAAGTTCCCGATGCTCGCGCGAAACTGGCAATTGCATTTTTATTGACGGCAGCCTGAACTATGTATGGATTGCAAATCCTATTTCATTCTTTTACTCGTATTGCCGAAATGGTTGCTGAACGCAAAATGGCAACATTTTCGTATGCGCCCATGCGTATGCTATAAATTTTTGCACAAGTGCGTGTCTGCTTGTATTCAAGTGTGGGTGCATTAAGAACCGGAAATTGAAAAAATTCACATGATATAAGAAACCAAAAAATGTTCAAGTTGAAGGAGCCATGCAGCTAGAGGTGCTTAGTTTAATGAATCGCAATTCATCGGCTTCATTTATTCAAGGAATTGCTGGTATGGTATTGCCCATAGAAAAAATTACATATTCGAGTCGGATTAGCTAGTGATGAAATATTTATTTTCTTTTGCAGCAGAGATTGCTAAATTTGCCGAATTCAGCTAAAATTTGAGACCGTGATTTTCAAAAGGACGGTTCAAGCCACCAATCTGCTGCGCGTGTTCTAGATTAAGAACCAAATGTGCTCGGTGTTTAACAAAATACGCATTAACAAGAAAGCCACACTGTTTTTCAGCTATATGGCATGAGCAAGAAAAGCATTTACTAATTCATATAGGAAATTGAGATTTTTTGCACACAAAATAATTATTATTTATTTTCATAGTCTGTCAGTCTCTTTCTTTCATCTGACTTGATAATGATCGGACGATTGTTCGTTGCTAGAATACTAGAATCATATAGATACTAATGGCACAGATATGGTGAACAAGTTTTGTTAACTCTAAAACTGTTTTTAAACTAAATTATACTACACTAATTTTTCTGATAAATCATTATTATATTATTACATACTTTTGATTCAATATAATTGAGGCAATGGTAGAGTTCTAAAAACAATTCTGGTAGTTCGAAATTGCTACTGCATTATTAGCAATATTTAAGCAGAAAGTTTTTTTTTGTTTTTGCTGTGTTTCGGTAAATTGAGAGCTGGTTGATATCTTTTCTTTGCCATTTGTTAAGGCATTGTCATTTGTATCATAAATGCATATTGAAAGTTAATTACTGTCGTTCGAAAAGTGTCCAAATCCAAATCATTATTATATTATTACATACTTTTTATTCAATATAATTGAGGCAATGACAGAGTTCTAAAAACAATTCTGGTAATTCAAAATTGCTACCGCATTATTAGCAATATTTAAGCAGAAAGTCTATTTTTGTTTTTGCTGTGTTTCGGTAAATTGAGAGCTGGTTGATATCTTTTCTTTGCCATTTGTTAAGGCATTGTCATTTGTATTATAAATGCATATTGAAAGTTAATTACTGTCGTTCAAAAAGTGTCCACTGAAGAGCATACAAAAATGGACAACTGAAGAAACTTAATATTTTCATAAACAATTGTCCTACTTCCAAGCTATCCATTTCAGATTCTGATTGCTTCACTTAATGAGTTGGAACCATCATTTGTCGTTCGCTTAATGTGTACTTTCTGTAAAGTACTATTTTTTTATAAGTAGCACATTTTTTCTGTCTCTCAAATGTTTTGCGTTATTTCCTTTGCTTTTATCAGCACTATTCGCACAAATTATCCATTGTCTGCGCACTTACTCAGGCATTTCCTGCATGTCCTTTATTAGCACAAACATTAGCACAACACACCTACATAAAACGTCAGCTGTCTGGTTCAGCACAAAAACTTGAACTTCACAGGCTTCAGCAAGCCAGCCGGGCAGGCAGGCAGGCGACAGACAGACAGGCAGACAGGCAGACAGAAGGACCCACATCAAAGCCAAGCACATTATGACACAACATCAACGCCTGCAATGGTGTCATTATTACCCATCACTGACTGATTCCTCCCACCTAAACACTTGCAGAACTTTGAGGTCAACTAACCCGACGAGCGCCATTTTGTGTTGTGGTTCCTCTATCTGCTTGCCCAAGCGCATGAGTGTGTAGGTGGGGGAGTGTGGCTTGAACCATGTAAGGATGTGTGTTTCTGTGGGTGTACGTGAGTGTATGTGTGTGTCTAGCTCAGTGCAACGCTTCACTTTTTTGACAGACAGTGCTCCCTAAATTTAATGCTTTTGCTCGTGGGAAATCGTTGGCTACCAGCACTGGAACAAAAATCGCGCATACGTCCCGTGGCCACACATACACACACACAAAGGCGCCTCTTTCTTTCTAGGAGCAGGAACAGCAGCAGCCCCTACATACTATACTCATATACAGAGTTTTTCAAACGTCCGTCTGTATTTTGTCTTACAGTCTCTATGCCTGTCTGTCAGAAAGTCTCTGTTGTACTCTCAGTTGGATGCAGCACTTTCTGCTCTAATAAATGAAATCAGGGACCGTAACATTATGTGATGGATATATTGTTACTTTTTTCGCCCAGCAGCGGCACTCGTTCTGCCAGGGCAAGCATACAGCTCTACTATTTTTTTTTTTTTTTTTTTTTTTTTTTTTTTTTTTTTTTTTTTTTGGTTTTTCTCTGGTTTCGTTTGCTTTTATTAGTTGATTTTGTCTCCTATATATTTCCTTTGTCGCGTAATTTTCCGCATGTTGCCTTTTAATAGTAAAAAGCCAAGCCAAAAATGCAAATGGACAGTCACATAATTGCTGCTGTTTCTGCTGCTTCTGCCGAAAGCTGATGAATGCCAACAGCAAAGACAAAAAATAAAAAATAAAAATAAAAAAAAAAAAACAACATCAGATGTGGCGCTGGGCCCTGTCTGTTGGAATTAACATGAGGCCAGAACAATTGGATTGACAAATAGCAGTGGCGTTGAAAACTACTCAGCCAAACTTTCACAAGCAAATTCAGATACATTTATATTTATATTTGTGTACGAGTATGTCGGTATAAGCTGACGGGTCATATTCGCTTTGATTGGCGTTTTAATGTGGCATCGCATATTCTGCGCTATTATATGCATTAAGCTTTTGCCCGCTGCACTGCAAAAATATTGCGCATAAAAATATTAACAATTCATATTACACGTATGTATGTACGTAGCTTAAAGCCATTGCCTTTTTATTATTATGGCGTAGCATTAAAGTTTTTCAAGTATTCCTTTTATGTGCATGGGGAAAAATTCGACATACGAATATAAGTATATGGATTAAAGCGAACAGGTTGAAAAATAAATAGAAAGCACACGACTTAATGGTAAGCATAAAATCGTTCGCCAGCATCAATAATTAAGTCGAGCGAATATATAATACTTCAATATTTATTTGTGGTTTACTCCTGTACAATTTTTGAGCTATATTATTTCTGGATGCTGTATTCATAACTATTTTAATTGCTGTTTATCGATTAAAGTCAACTGGAAGGAATATTCATTAGCATGGCGTAGAGCATATTTCTTATGACGAAAAGCTTTCAAGGTACTTGTATACTTCCCCATACAACTTAACGAAGCTGTGTCGTAGAACTTAGTGTACTTAACAACTCGCTCATTTCTTCTCATTTCTTGAGATAATTTTAAATACATATTTGAAATCGCTGCTTAAGTAAGATTATAAAATGTTTCGATTGATATTTTTTTGAATTAAATGGACTCCTATAGTTCTAAAATGAAAGGGTTTTATATCTGTTATAAAATTAATGACATTTATCGAAGATAAAGATCCCTTGTGTCATTTCTGAACTTTGCCTAATTGGTTTTCCATTTCGTATAAAGGTAAAGCCATATCTGTCTTTTTGTCAGTGGAATCAGGTGGAATCAATGTCTTTGTTAAATACTAAGAACAGCACTAAGTAATCAATTTTTTTATTACATTATACATTAGCTGAGCTATTATTTTATTTTTAACTTTATTTTGATAGAGCCTCTTTTAAAAGGTAGAGGCGTGTATATTTCGCAGCACATTATACATATTTATTAGTGGCAGCTAGGTAATATACATAAACTAACACTTAGAACGGGACGTTAGGCTAGCATATAAGTAATACACTTATATGTAAGAACAGATTGTAGCTGCTGGTTAAGTAAGAAGCTATAAAAGAAAGGCGCTGAAGTT